TGATATCCCGGATGCCTGATGGAAAGTTTGACCCACTAATGTCGAATTCACACGCCCTTTCTCTGGCATCTGCCTTTAGAATCTGATGGAAGCTTGTGAGAATTGACAGCCTGGTCAAAAGCCATCCCCAAAAGAGGAGAAGATTTACAACATAATTTACAAAGCGAAGCCGGGACCATAGCTTCGGAAAAGCCCATTGAATGACCTGAACTGATCTTTGTCACTCCGTCGGCCAATTGGTGTTGAGTAAACCATCCTAGCAAGTCTATTACCGCGAGTCATTAATCATATACGATATACATTCGTGGCTACTCTCACAATCCAGACCTCTGCTACATTGCTACGCTTGCTATTGGCTCACTGCTACATGAGGCAGGCCATCTGCGCTGGCATGGCTCCCTTGTGGTCGTGAAATCACCCCCCTCGGCATTGCGGCTCATTGTGTCCCTCAAAATGTCTATGTTCAGGCCAGCTTCGGAAATCTCGTCCTCCTCGGAGTCTCAATCCAGCTCCGATGAAAGCGACCATGGATTGCTTTCTGCAGCCACCTCCGAGAAGACCCGGGGTAAGTCTCGGTCCGGGAATGTTGCACAGACTGCATCCTTCGACAGGGAGCCTGGCACTGAAAGCATCTCCGAAGCATCAATGGATGTCCTTGATGTTGAAGCTCAAGGTCATACAGCGTGGATGACCTCCGCCTTGCTCGAGTTCTACTGCCTCAGCAAAGCAACGGACATCCTCAATGCCAGGGAAGGCTCTCAGATGCGATACACTCGCGAGTCTCCAGAAGTACAACATCTAGCCAAAAAGATGTATGCCCATCAATCACAGCTGCTATCGACACATGGAATGTTACCTGGAGGCATTGAGAATGACGAATGGGGAGAAAGAAGACAGAAGTATCGGGAAACTCTTGATGGAATTGGCCTGCAGGCCCTCAAAGGGCTAAACTTAGACGATACCCCTAAGCAGACGCCGTCTTTTGGCACAACAAAAGACGTCGTTTTGGCTTCTAAAGCCTCAAACCGGATGCAAGTTCACGTAGAGACGGGTTTTGCAAGACCTTCACAAATGAGGCGCCAATACAGCGGACTGTTGGGGTTCAGAGAGCAAGTTACCGCAAGAGACGACACGCGCGCGCCGGAACATCAGCCGTTTGCCCTCTTGGGTAGTTCGCCTGTGAGCTTCCCGCTATTCAGGCCGAATCCGCCGCCACCGACTCCAGCTATATCTCGTTATGCGACGGAATTTTCAGAAGTGAGAGTCCTCGGCCGCGGATCATTCGGCGAAGTCTATCATGTGAAAAATCATATTGACGGGCAGAACTACGCAATTAAGAAGATTCCACTCAGTCAGAGGCGGCTTCAGCAGTTGCAAGGCGGCAATCAAAATCAGCTTGAAAGTATCATGAAAGAGATACGAACGCTTGCTCGACTCGAGCATACGAATGTTGTCCGATACTATGGTGCATGGGTGGAACAGGCTCATATATCTGACCTTCTTCACTCAAGGAATATGAGTTCAATGGAGTTCCAGCACGAGGAGAGCCACAGCATGTGCCTGACTCAAGAATCAAACGACGAGCAAAGTTTTGGAGTGGTATTTGAACATTCGGAAGCTTCTGCAGTTGAGGCACGCTCGATTTCTACGTCCGCTGAATCCGAAGCGGATGCTCCTCACCATTCGCGACGTCGCTACAGTCATGCTACGTCGTCGTCGCGCCCCTCAAAGAATAGCCTGGCGCGGAGTCTTGAAGACGATGAAGAGGTCGAGTCGATCCCTCGCGATTTCAATTTTGCGTCTCATGGTCAGCTGTCGACGTTTGGAGGAACTGATGATGATATTTTCACCGACGGGCTCAGTTACGATGCGTCCAAGCTGCAGGTCCAACGAAGGCGTCAAAATGGGTCTCAGCTTCCTGCTGTGGTCCTCCACATTCAAATGTCTCTGCATCCTATTTCCCTGCACGCTTATCTTAGTCCTCATTCTTTGGGTCTCGCAGAACATAACCATACACCCCCGCGGCGTCACTGCTTCCATTTGATACCATCGCTGAGATTAATGCTACGTATAATCTCCGGTGTCGAATATCTCCACGCCAAAGGCATAATTCATCGTGATCTGAAGCCGGCAAATATCTTCCTCTCACCGTCTGATCATGGCAAACTCGATGGGTGCCCTTCCTGCATGGCGAATTACGGGTCCACACCTGATTACTGTCACCCCAGAATAGGAGACTTTGGTCTTGTCGCAGATGTATCGCATCTCAACGACTATCCTACCCCCTCCTTTGAGGATGGTCCAAAGCTCGAACGTGTTGTCGGAACGGAGTTCTACCGCCCACCCTTGAGCACTAATAGAGAGAAGCACTCTACCGGCATGTTCCAAACCGGAAATCACCAGTTCAGTTACATTGTCGATGAGACCCTTGATGTTTACGCTCTTGGAGTTATACTTTTTGAGCTTCTTTATCGTCTGAACACTAAGATGGAACGCCAAATGGTCCTGACTGACTTGACGAAAGGCACGAATCGTCAGTCTCCGGCCAGAACTTGCATTAGAAACACTGTATTCCCAGCAGACTTTGCACAGAAACTCGACATGGGATCGACCATGCTAGAGGATGGTGTGTCTGTGGCTGACTCGTTGATGAGATGTATCAGCGGCATGTTAGAGCCCAATCCTCATCGGCGCTTGCGCTGCGAGGATATTAAGAGAGCTCTAGAAAATATTCTGGATGCTGCTGTCGTGCAGGATCTTTCTAGTTGTTGATGCTATTGAGCAACATTTGTTGAAATCTTTATATCAGCACTATGCTCGAGCGTACAGCTGCCTCGATGTACGAGGGAATGTAATAGAGGTGAACATATTAAGACCATAACCCTGTATAATATATTGATATTCACCTTCGAGTCACTTCTGTGGAGTCGGGACTAAAGCGACAACTCCTCTCTTCTCATCTTTAAATAGATTTTGGGGCAATGATAAACATTGAAAACTGAAGACATATTATACACATTAAATCGGACAACGGAAACATACATTGGCGGGTTTCGGCCCTCGGCTTCATGGGATTTATCTATCAGTGCATCACAGGGGAGGTTCACAAGCCAGCTTCCCCGCATAATAATACGAGGATACCCCAAACTCCTCCCGTCAAAACATGTAGCATTATATCAACATGAAGAGATAAAATAAAGCTCCATCACTTCTTAAGTCAATTTGGAGTCAACATCGCTAGCGCCTATCTCTCTTCTCCCCATAGGTCTATATCCTAATTATCAGAACAATGCCTCGTACAGACCGCCCCCCAACAGCTCCCTACAGCGAACCCCTTCTTCCCCAGCTAGACATCAAAAACCCCTACTACACAGACCTACACCACGAACTTCGCGCCTACGTCCGCAACTACGTAGAAACATACATCGCCCCTCATGCCCAAGAATGGGAAACAGCGGGCCAAGTCCCCGAGGAAGTCCGACGACGCCATTGCGAGCTGGGGTTTGGAATCGTCCATCCTCTAACCACCGAAGAAGACACGGCAGGTATCTCATTACCCGGTAACGTCCCCCGTGAGAAATGGGATACGTGGTGCAGTCTCATTGTGACGGACGAGCTTACTCGTGTCGGATTCGTGGGTGTTATATGGGGTCTGGGTGGTGGAAATAGTATCGGGTGTCCGCCGATCGCGAGGTTTGGGACATGGGAGCAGCGGCAAAGATGGTTGCCTAAGGTTGCCAGGGGGGATATCAGGTTTTGCTTGGGGATTACGGAACCTGATGGTATGAGTTTTGAGTCCTTTCATTCACGGTGGATCGTTCGGCTGACAGGATACTAGCTGGTTCGGATGTTGCGAATATCCAGACGACTGCAAGATTAGATGGTGATCATTACATCGTCAATGGGGCGAAGAAATGGATCACGAATGGTATCTGGGCTGATTATTGCACTGCTGCGGTGAGGACAGGGGGCCCGGGGAGAGGCGGCATCAGTCTGCTTGTGATTCCATTGACTGCCCCTGGGGTGACTCGCCGGCGGATGCACAACTCAGGCGTCAATGCCAGCGGTATGGCCTGCTTGCATGGAAACTTCCATGAAGATACATAGCAGCTGATTAGTCAATTAGGGTCGACGTTCATTGAATTCGATGATGTCCGGGTCCCGGTTGATAATTTGATCGGAAAAGAAAACAAAGGCTTCCCGCTTATCATGTCAAGTGAGTACATCCACAGGAAAGATATCCAGGTGCTAATGTGTCAAGACTTCAACCCCGAGCGTCTTGCGCTTGCATGCGCCTCTTTGCGGTTGGCTCGTGTTTGCGCAGAGGATGCCTTCCACTACGCAGTGCAGAGAGAGACCTTCGGGGCGCCTCTCATTCAAAGACAGGCAATACAATCCAAGATCTTCAAGTTCGGCCTCATGATCGAACCGGCGTATGCATTTATGGAGCAACTCGTCAACATCATCGAGCTCACCAAAGATCGACCAGCTGCCGATGTGAAGATCGGTGGAATGACGGCTTTGCTCAAGGTGATGTCCACCAGAGCTCTTGAGAAAAGTGTCCGTGAAGCCCAGCAAATTCTTGGAGGCGCTGGGTATAATAAGTCCGGAAAGGGAGCACGAATTGAGCAGATTTCCCGTGACGCGCGAGTTCACGTAGTTGGCGGTGGTAGTGAGGAGATTATGATGGGCCTGGCTTTACAGGAGGAGACCAAGGCGCTTAAGACGAGGAGGCAGGCTCTCGACAAACGGTCGAGGCTCTAAGATGCGTTGCAATGTTATTTCGTTGGTCGCTGAGATATTCTATTTTCTCTATCAGATGTTCAAAACTCACTACAGCTCGAAGATTTAACTAGCCACAAAAGCCATATCCAAATGCTGGCAGTGTCCATGTGTCAGCTAAATCCTAAGTCCTTGAMCAGCCCAACACTAAGAAGTGAGATCAACCCCCGAGAAAGAAGTCTAAGGGAAATTCAAGTCCTGAGCACGAGCGCAGAAGTTCAAACTAACTCCCAAGGATTGATCGATTGACGCTTCTCCTCCAGCTGTTGCACTCTCCTATGAAGTATGTTGAGATGCGCAACAATGTCTTTGATCGCCTGCTTAAGTAAAGGCAAGTCGTTGATGGTTTCCGGTCCGAGAGGAAACGGAACAACCTTGCCATCGAGACGTGACCTTGGAGCAGGGGTCTGACTGTCAGATTCCTTTATATGTTCCTGAACATTCGTCTGAATGTCCTCCTGGATAGGGGCAGCTCGTTCTTCGTCTTTGTGCACTTCCTCCGCTACGCTGCTATTGGTGATATCTGTCAAGGAATCTGTGGAAGTGAACGATGAATCTATAGATTCATCATCTTTGTGTGCTCCTGGTGTTCCAGTTGTTAACAAAGAGAAGCAAGGCCAGAATGAAGTTTAGAATTTCGACTCACGGAGGTCACAGTTGTGTCTCCTACTGAACCGACAATTTGCACATGCTCCGGCAAGCTTCGAATTATCATCTGGGCTAGGCTCAACGACACACATTCTCCAAGTGCCTTTGTTGTCTTTGCAGAAGCTGCACGGATCAGCCGCCTCGGTGCCGCGGGTTTGGATCAATGCAGCGGTCAACGCCGTGCTGTCTCTCAGTGGTTTGCGTATAGGCTGGCCGTCTCCGTCTATCTGCCAGTCCAGAACGCGAATGGCAGCCAGTTTCTGATATCTCTTCTGCGCCTCATTTGGGTTATCTGCCGCAATGGGCAGGTCGGACGCGTCAACTCCCGCAATAAGCTCGTCCCTATCTGGAAATGTCTTGTCAGCCTCTTCAGAAAGATCCGACGGAAGAAATCACAAACACGTACCACTCTGAGAGCCCAATGATACTTCACCTTTGCCACGGCGATGAGGTCGGTATGGCCCTTCTTCCTCGCTTTCTGACTCTGGGCGCGGTCGTTTAGGTGTAGCTATTCCGAACATTCGAAAGATTTTGGGAGCTGTCGGACTTAGGAGGTCGTGGTACTGTTCTTGCTTCGTTATTTTCCTCATCTCGTACCACAGTCTGAAAGCTAGCAAAATAGAAGTGAGTGAGATATTGAAAGGTAATGAAGAAACGCCGTGACAGTGAGCATTAGCTTGTATACAGAGCAACGTTGCCGCGGCGTCAGAGTGAGAATGACCAAAATAAACGCACAACCACATCCGTAATGTGAAATATCCTTTAAATGAGGAACATAGGAGCATCCTGTTCTCTTTATAATCATGTCTCTGAAAGAGCTGTGCTAATTAATTCATCTGTTCTATGCCCTATCTGCCCCTTGTTCCGAGGACAGTTTGGCACTCTCTAAAGAAATGCTTCATTTACGGAAGGAAGTAGAACTGATTACACATGCAGTTGGAGTTATTTCTTTATTTTGCATCTTGCTACTCACAAGAGAAACATTCCACAAGACCCTACATCAGTTAACGACAAAGTTTAGACGCCCTAGTCTGTCTGTATATAAATTGGTAGCTTCCAGCGGCAAAGTAGGGGACTAAGGAAGAATCACAAGAAACGACAAGAGCCTGGTTGCTCTCTTCTTCATATCATGTCTTTCAGCACATAAGCATTCAATCAGGTTTGAGCATCTCTATAGCTTCGTGTATATAATTTCAAAGGTCGAGGCGTTGTTCCATAATTTAATCTTGCACAGCCACCCGACACTTCATTAGCCTCATATGACTGGGATATGCTTTTATATATAAAATATCCAGCAAAGAAGTTTCTCACAGAGCAATAAGTACTAGTATAACTTCACTAAGCTGTGGCTGATGATTGATCGATACCCCAGAAGTAACTTATATGGTAGCCATTACGTCATGCGGGGGAATGGCTCTGTACTGTAATGGAGCTGTATCGTATGGTAAGATTGCCCCTGCTGTCATTAATGATAGCGGGCCTATCTTATTCCTCTGCTAAACACCGATAAGAGCTCTATGCTAGGAACAACTACCTAACTCGGCGGCAGAGTGACGACTCTTCTGCTGCCCCATGAATACTACGTCTGAATAGCTGGAGCAGGATTCTCCCAGCCTGACCCATGAAAATGGAGAGCTTCGATGATGCGCCACGCCCGGTGGAGTTCGTCGAAGAAAATGCTGCTCTACCTAACGAGTATCCCTCAAGAGCACCATCACAAGCAGACTACCGCACCCCAAGTTTTGCGTCTGACTTGAGCTCTACGATTGCAGAGGGATCGTTCACGTCGAACGGGACCTTAAAAGGAACTGAAGATCAAGTAGATAGTACGCAGCGAAGACTTACCGATCAAGAAGATGTCTTCAAACCTCCCCGGACCGCCTCTCCCTTCCCTCCCATGCCATTCAGCCCGCCTCCAGCAGCCGAGATCAGCGAAGACGGGCACGATGAAGAAGACGAGGAGCCTCATGTTGCGACATCCTTCGAGCGTGACTCGTCACCGACCTTAGCGCAGAAGCACCGATCGGCGTTTTTCGATCTCGGCGAAGAGAGCATGAATCGCATGCACAAGATCTCATTGTATGAGACGGCGACTCGATTCTATATGGTGGGCATGGATCTGTCAGACACGCGGTTTCGCATTCTGAAAATCGACCGTACGTCAGACACAAATGATTTGGTTATCGTCGAGGACGACATTGTGTACACAAAGAGGGCAATGAGCCAGTTGCTGGACGCGATTGACGACGGGAATAAGATCTCCGGGGGACTGAAGCTCAGATGCAGTGCATGGGCCTTGCTTGGCTTTATTCGCTTCACGGGCGCATATTACATGCTCCTAGTGACGAAGAGATCTCAGGTTGCTATGGTGGGCGGCCACTATATCTACAAGATCGATGGGACGGAACTGATTTCGTTGACAACCTCGAGCTCCTCCAAGCTGAAGCCCGAGAAGAACCCCGAAGAGGCGCGGTATATTACAATACTTAATAATCTTGACCTGAGTCGGTCATTCTACTTCAGCTACTCATACGACATCACGCGCACCTTGCAACACAACATTTGCCGTGAACGCAAACTTCATCAAGACGGGTACTCGAAAGGCTTCCATCAAGATTACAATACGATGTTCATATGGAACCATCACCTGCTCAGTCCCGCAATCGAAGCACTGAAGAACCCTTATCAATGGTGCCTCCCTATCATTCATGGTTATGTCGACCAGGCCAAGATTGATGTGTATGGGCGGCTGGCGTACTTGACCATTATTGCTCGCCGTTCTCGATTCTTCGCTGGGGCTCGCTTCTTGAAACGGGGTGCTAATGATCTGGGTTACGTCGCTAACGACGTCGAAACGGAGCAGATTGTTTCCGAAATGTCCGAGACTTCATTCCATGCTCCCGGCCCTGCTCTTTACGCCAACCCTCTGTACACCTCATATGTCCAGCATCGGGGTAGTATCCCTCTTTATTGGACACAGGACAATTCAGGAGTATCGCCCAAACCTGATATTGAGCTGAATCTTGTTGATCCGTTCTATTCAGCCGCCGCCCTCCATTTTGACAATTTGTTTGAGAGATACGGTGCACCGATCTACGCTTTGAATCTGATCAAATCCAGGGAGCGTACTCCACGCGAGTCAAAGCTTCTGAAAGAGTATACCAATGCCATCAACTACTTGAATCAGTTTCTTCCTGAAGATAAAAAGATCATCTACAAACCATGGGACATGAGCCGCGCTGCTAAAAGTCGCGACCAGGATGTGGTAGGGACACTGGAAGAGATCGCAGGCGAAATCATCCCGAAGACTGGTTTCTTCAAGAATGGTTATGACGCAGATTCTGGCTTACAACTCCAGAATGGGATTGCTCGGACGAATTGCATTGATTGTCTTGATCGTACAAATGCTGCCCAGTTCGTGATCGCAAAACGAGCCCTTGGTTATCAGCTTCATGCTCTTGGGATCATTGATGGCACCACTTTGGAATACGACTGTGACGCTGTCAACCTCTTTTCCACTATGTGGCACGATCACGGTGACACAATTGCGATTCAGTACGGTGGTTCACATCTGGTCAATACCATGGCTACGTACCGCAAGATCAATCAGTGGACCAGCCATTCTCGAGACATGGTGGAGAGTTTCAAGAGATACTACAACAATTCGTTCCTTGATGCGCAGCGTCAGGAAGCTTACAACTTGTTCCTTGGTAACTATATTTTTACGCAAGGCCAACCGATGCTGTGGGACCTCTCCACCGACTACTACCTGCATCATGCCAGTCCCAGATCTTGGGCCGAAAAGAGGCGACCCAATTATATCCACTGGTATACTCCTGAGAATCTGAAAGCGCGCGAACTGCCACCGCCTCCTTCGCGCCCGAAGGAGCCTCTGTCGCGATTTGATGATTATTGGCTGGAGTACTACAGACCTTTGGCTGTCTCGACTCTTCCGAAGATCTTCTCGTTCAAAATGAAGTCAACGTTTCACTACGTTCCGCGCCCCTTCAGCCCGTTCGATGTGCGAATTGCTCATGACCAACACAATCGTGAGAGGCATCCGCAACGAAGCGTGAGAATACAGGAGCCAGGCAGTAGCGTCATTGAGCATGCGACGCGCTCACCCATGCACAGCGCGCCACCGAACGACAACCCTACGTTGAAATGGGTGCAACAGCCCGACTCGGCGCAACCCGCCGCAAAGTATACTAAAGACTCCATATATGATCTCTCTCTGTCAAGTAGCCAGATACCGTCCATGCAGACATCAACGGATTCAGCTACGCCCAGCAAAGCACAAATTGCTCAATGGACACTCGGCCAGCTAGTGACCGACTCGCTTAATCCGTCCGTCACTGCCGCAGAGGCCGAAGAATACGAGCGGTACATCAACCACCCGCTACACGTTCCTCTCGTTGTAACATCGGAAGATGAGATCACCGCTGCCTCTGCCCAGCATGAGTCGAACTTGGACCTACTGGAATACGCCAACAAATGCAACGTTGAAGAGGTCACACTCGAAGCTAACGCGGAGGAGAATCTAGCGGATTATGCCGAGTTCCTTACCGTATCGGAGGAAGGACTTACGGTCGTCGCAGAGGACTATGAGAAGAAACGCTATAAGCGATACCGACAGTGGCTGCGGGGGAAGAGTCTTTTCAAGCAACGGGTTGATATATAATCGCGATTACTTTTCTCAACTCTATGATGAATTTATGTCTATAATGATACCCAAGCCTATTGTTCATATGTCTAAATTTGAGCATAGCTCACTTAACGGAACTAGCGAAGCATATTACTCATGTGTCCACCACAGCATTATTGCCATCAAAAACAATGTAAATTAGACAGTCACGGATCTATCCCAAAATAGTCCGCATCATTAGGATCAATATCCGCAAGAAGCAAGTCCGCAAGAGACTCATCAGCGTCAACTAGTTCCTGCAATTCCTTCCGAATAGCAGCCTTCGCTTCCAGCTGGCCAGCATCTCCGTCCGCCTGCGCTGGATTCTCCAGCGCAAACCTCAACAGGTACACTGTGCCGCGCAGCTCCTTCTTGAGCTTGGTCAGCGCAGTATTTGTCTCATGGTCCACCTGCGTACTCCGCCCCTTGACAGCCCGCTCGGCAATCTCGCTTTCTTCCTCGACTACGCGCAGCCAACACGAGCAGAGAGCGCCGAGGATCTCGCCGCGCCATCGCCACAGTCGCGGATGGGCATTTAGAATCACCGCGCGGGTCACGGCCACCGCGGAAAGGAGAAGAGGCGGATATGCTGTTCCGAAAGGGTTTGACAACGTACTGTACAGCAGAGGGACGATCTCCTGAAGGTACTTCGCCGTGTGGATGCCTAGCTCCAGGAGTAGCGGGTACATCTGGTCGACGAGCAGTGTCGAGAGACGCGGGTATGGGAACGAGGCGAACGAGGAGGTTGAGGTCCTGTTTGTTGAGCTGATGTGGTGGAATGAGGAGATGAGATTCTCTCGGAGAGTCCTTGTCACGCTGGAGATATACTTGTCTCTGTTTGAGTTTGCGGCCGACCTTGGGGTGGCGGTGTGGTAGCTTGTCTGTAAGAGGGAGAGCAGAGCTGGG